TTGCAGCCCTGACTAATACATAATTTCACTCTTCTGCAGTAGCTAAGTGAGATTACAGCCTTTTCTATTTTGAGGTTTCTTAAGTATTTAAAGTCTTTGAAGTTTTTTAAAAATGCAGTCATGTCACTGCAATGTTTAAAGGAAAGTCTGCAGTTTTTTTAACACCTCGGATTTTTATTTTTCAAAAATTAGTTTAATTTTTAATAGTCGTTTCATCTTTGGATTTAGAAATGTGTTTTATTCATGTTTAAAGCATCTTCTAATAAGATTACTAAGGTGACTTTGAGCAATGACCCTTGTCATCACATTAACCGATTTAGAAATTTGGTTCGCACTGTTTCTAAATGTTCCTTTCCTGTGGGTTTTTAAAACAACTTTATTCTAAAAGTTCTAGTAAATAAAACCATAATTCAGTTCAAAACTATTTTTTAAAATCTAGTAAAAAAAAGAAGAAAAGAAAGTGAAATATATATTTCATGAAAAAGTCTATTTAAATCAACTTCTTTGAGGCAGCCATCTTAGCCATCTAAAAATAACCCTAAAGAAATGAGACTAGAACATTAATTTTCTTTGCCATTTTAACTCCATCCTTTTTTTTTACCTAACATGAGGTAGATTTATATATTGAAATACTTTTATAAGAAATCTGAGGTCAATGCTAGATTTTACTGTAATCCTGAAGCTTATAAAAGCATCAGAAAAGACACTGTCTAAATGGACGAAAGATGTGCTTTGAAGGTAGTTCAGCTTGTTTCATCAGAAGTGGTCCTTCCCTTTTGCTGGTGAAATCAATGCATGTGACTACCCAAAAGCTCTTCTAACTTGCTATGCAGAATGTAGAGAGGAAATTCTTCTCTTCATTCTCTTAATTCTGCCACCCAACCTCAGTGTTATAAAGCTGGAAACATGTGACCCTTCGATTACGATTCCTGTATCTAATTTTGCAAGTCGGCTGAATTTTGGGAAGTAGGGATTTCAGATCAATTACATATGAAATCGACAGATGATATGCAGACATGTGACTTGGAGATTCAAATACTCTTTGACCTCATATATAGCTCTTCATTACAGTATTTCACTTTGTTTGAAAAGATCCCAGATTCTAAGAACCAGAAATAGGTTAATCCTTCCCTGTTGGCTATATAACATTTGCGTGCCAAAATGCTGGCTTTGTACCAGAAGATTCAGCACATGGTTTATGCATTTGAACAACAATTTATTTACTGTTGCTCTCAAATGCAAGAACTTAAATTATTAATTACTATGAGTCTTCACAAGTTGAGCATAAAATGGTACCCTTCAGTTGTTATAATAAAATTTAACTAATTCACAATTAACTGAAATTCCAAAGAACAACTTGATAGAACTCAATCTACTCTGGACTTCATTAGGTGAGAGACCTGTGCTGTTACTCCATTAGTACCTTTCTGAAATAATCCTAAATAATTTTTAGTCAGGAATAATTCAGAAACAATCCTTTCTGAAATAATCACTTCATAACTAGAGACTGTCCAGACAACCTGTATTTTCATAATGTTTGTAATTAATCACTTAAACTGAACAGAGTATAAAATTTCTAATATAACAAACTTCATCCCTACCTTTCCCCATGGGTTACAAAACACAGTCAGTGATTTCCTTTTACTCCACCAAACTGTGCCTAACCATGGAGCTGTAAAAGGAAGGTGTTACCAGATTTAGAAGAATAAAAGAAAACCTTTTCTTTTTTAAACATGCTCTTTTCACAAATGCTGTGAAGTGCAGTCAGGCTTTTTCTGGTGAGCCATGGCAGGCATGAAGCTGGATAATCTTTAACTCTTGAGAAATATTTTGCTTTAGGTCTTTTCTCATAAACTCTACCAGCTGAGGCTTGTTAAGTTAAATGGTTGTCCACAGGGCCAGTAAGTTTATTTTCTCTCATATGCCTAATACATGTAATGCATGTTCTGCCCTATAAAGGTACATGAGTAGTTCTTTTCAGTTAATAACGTTGAGGAGGGATGAGCAGGGTACATGCACTACTGGCTAAAACTCCAGTATGACTGCCTGTAATTTGTACCAATGTGCCAGTTTTTAACATAAAAGTATGAATACCACGATCTTCTTTTATAAGAAAGGCCGAGTAGGCACCTTAATACACTTTCCATCTAGCATATTGTTTTGAATAAAGAGGTCACTGACACCTTATTACAACCCATGCTTTCATTAATACAGAAAGATTCCCATCATTAGAGAAGATAGGCCAATGTTGGTATTAATTGAAATAGAGATTTTATTTTTTTCATGGCCGTTTAGGCTGGCAAAAATGCTTTTATGAGACTGTAACAACTTTATTTAGTTCCAAGTGTATCTTGCATTTTAAGTGGCAAACTTGTTTCAAGCTTGTGGGAGACAGTGTATTTGCCAGATTTTCCAGTTTATTCTCAGCAAGGTTAACTGAAATTAGACCAACTGGACTAAATTACCCTTTCATATGGAAATTGTGTCACTGTTTAGATGTCAGAATAGGACATGTACAAAGGAGCTTAGTTCTTATACTGCTTTCTGTAAAGTAATGGATCTTGGAACTCCGGGTCGAAGATTTCCTAGGCTGGCTTCATAAACTAGGGAAATTAATTTTCTCCTCATCCTCCCTCTGCTGTACCCTTTGAAAAGTTGTAATGACTTTTGTTTTGCCAAAATAAATTGTAGCCTTTTCCCAGAGAATTGCAATGTTTATTGGCAGTACTGCAGTGATGTGTTGCACCAACAGCAGAGGAGGAGTAGGATTGCTTCTGCTCTGCCAAGAATCCAAATATCTGTGGATAGAGAATAGCTGTAGTCAGGTTGCTGTTTTTTGAGGCCTCAAATATCTTGCCTCTTTTACTTTATGGAATGTGGGTCAAGAACAGCCCCTTGAGCCCTCAAACCTTTTAGAGTGTGTGGTCAGATAAGAAAGGAGCACTGCTAAAGTTTGGTTGCAACCTACTATCACAGTGTGCTACCAAAATTCTGCCAAAGAGTATTAAAATTTGGAGGTTTACTTCTTGGGAAAAAAATGATATTTTTTAAAGTGATACAATATTTGTGAAGCACAGATAGGAGAATATGCTGAAGCACACGATGCTGGGGAATTTGAAGCAACTTTTAGCGTTGCTAAATTGCACCTAGCGTGTGATAATTCTTTATTCAGTTTTGGCACGGGTATTTTCCAATTTAATTTTTTCATACTGGGACCTGAATTCAAAGTGCATCTTCTGCTATAGAGTTCCAATCAACTGAAGTGCATCCATGGAAGCACATGTTTTCATGGATGAACACTAGATGCAGCTCTAAACAGTGGCATTATGATGACCAGGGTAAGTCTTCAGTAGTAGCAATGCTCATGGGTTAGTTAGTAGAGCTGCTCATGGGGAAAAGGTGTACCTTTCTGAATTTAAGGGTTTTGCATCCCTATGTGCCTCTAGAAAATGAGTAGAAATACCTTTAACTTTGGCAGATATCTTTCTTGACCTTATCAGCTTCTATGATCCTAATATTATCTGAAGTTCTTTCTGTTCTTCATTTTTCATTTTCATGTAATCTTTGTTACTCTTCAGTACCAGAAGTCCTTGAATGATTGGAATAGATGTGCAGTTACCAGGCTTTGAAGTAGTGCTGGACATCATGTCCAGCCTCCATCATGTCCATCTAGTCCAGCCTCCTCCTTTTCTAGGTTAGCACAAGGCTGCTCTGTAAACAGTCTCCATGTCTTTGGTGGATGCTTGTGAACCCCGCAGCAGGAGAATGGTTTATTCACAGAGGTCTAGAGAAGTGAGGAGCTTTTACCTCACTGAACTTCATGGCAGGCACTAGCCCCAGGTTACAAAACTGAAACCTCACCAACTTGGACTACTCTTCTAATCTAGCAACCAGAGAAAAATGACAAGTATCTGTTTGGTTAATTTTAACTGTTTGGGGAAATTATGATCATACCATTTACTGTACCCTCAAAGGGTGGTCACCTCCAACTACCACAGATGTAACCTCTCACTGTGACCTAGAAACCCCTCCAAAAAAGAGACACAAGTGGCCAATTACACAGGTTGCCCAACATGTTCACGTTGAGAAAACTGCTGTAGTGACTGTGGAGCAGACGAGCAGTGCCTGCTCCAAGGGAGTCCTCTCGACCAGGCAGCTCCAGTGATCCAGCAGCCTGGTGTTACCTGGCTGTGCTGAGTGCAGAGAGTGCTGTATTATTTTCACTTCTCAGGTAGAAGCAGCATGGGCTGCTTGGGTCAAGTCTTCATACAGATTTAACAACATTAAATAGAACTCAAGAAATAGCTTGGCAGCTGCATTCAGCAGAGCACTGAGTATACACACTTAGCTTTACTGGCTAATTTCAAGTCCTAAAATTCTGAATCACATGAAACAATTTCAGTAGACTTTCTTCTTTCTTTTGAACTGCTTTATTTAAATCTAAGTAACAACAGCAGGTCTTTTATTAATAATAAAGCAAAAAGCATATTGTTCTTTTTCACTGGGCTTACTATTTTTAGTGAACTTTTTTGTATTTAAGTGTGTATGCATAGAATATTTTTCTGTTTACCTATCCATCTTCTTAGCCCTCTCTCCTAGAATTTATTAATTTTATATAGTAAGCAGACATTTTGTGCCTCAATTGTAAGATGTTAATCACTGATACCAGCAGATACCACTGATAAATAGCTCAAATACAGTTGTTGGATAATAGAAGCCCTGATTCACCAGCCTATATTCTCACTGCTCAGAATCATTAATTAATCAAATAAACATCCTCAGATTGCAGCAAATACTCTTGTCTCTATTCTGAAATCAGTACTGTGGGGATCTGTAATGAGGGGATATGTTCAATGAATTTAATTTATGAAAACAAACTACCAACCTTACCAGTTATTTGTAATTTGTATACCTTACCCAATTCTCCAGCTTGTTTGTTTAAAAAATGCTCTGTAAATTAATCTGTTACTTTTCTTTCTTGTGCCCCTATCCTTTCCAAGGTTACGCCTTTCTGCTGTTCCAGGAAGAAAGCTCTGTACAAGCTCTGATAGATGCCTGTCTGGAAGAAGATGGAAAACTTTACCTATGTGTGTCAAGTCCCACAATCAAGGATAAACCAGTAAGTAGCTTATGCCATGACACTCACTCTGGTTGCTAACCCATTTGCCGTTACTCTTTTCAGTTAATAAATAAATAAAAAATACTTAGAGTTAATTATTTGTTATTTCCTGTTTCTGACCTTGCTGTTATATTGAATTGACTTCCTGTATCAGCATATCATGGCTTTAACATTTGTTTTTTTCTGATAAATGCCATATTCAATTACCTTTTATATTTGATACTCCTGTTGTGCTTCAGGAGTGTGCACCCTTTTACAGCGTTAGCTGTAAAACAATGGAATGGTAGTTTTTCATCTATTTGCTTTAAGAGAAAAGAAAGCCTTATTGTGATGAAATGAAGAATACTTAACTCTGCCAAATTAAGATCCAGATAGCATCAAGTATTGCCTGTATTTCATTAGGTTTTAATTACTGTTTTTTATGCATTCAATACCTAATCAATTCATAATTTAAGCCTCATTTACCTTACAGAAACTATGGGGTAAAATCAACTACTGCAGACAGCTATAGCAGGATAGAAGACTGCAGCAGAATAGTAGCCTGTTTTTATTGTTCACATCTCTAACATTCTTTAATGCTGGTCGGTTTTTGTGCCTATGGAGATACACAAATGAGGTGGAAACTGCAGACAAATAAGATAAAAAATGTGCTGCCTTTTAAAAGTACTATTAAAAATCTTTCTGAGATGAATGAACAATGCAGGACTGCAGCACAGTGAGCAGGCTTGTGTGATTCCTAGGATCAAAAAAATGGATTGATGAACAGCTTTACCTCAATAACTTCTGAGCAGTTTTTTCTGTGTAATCTAAAGATTTCTTATCAGCTGTGTTGCCTGCTCAATAGAAATAGGTATTCACATACAAATTCCTTTTGTATCCAAGCACAGAAATTAATTTTATCAGCTCATATGAGTTCTTTTAAATTTGTGGATCACTGTATGTGATTTCAGGAAAGCCAGAAGCCCAAACTGCAACTGTAATTGCACATTCTACAGGTTTCTTCCTATGACGGTGATTAGGGGCAGGGAATTAATGAGTGTAGGAGTTTGTGATGAGGAGATTTAACTCAAGCCTGGCCTCTAGAGGTGATAAATGAATTGTCCCCCTTCTTTCAGATACTTAGATAAGGTACATTCTCACATTATCTTGGTTCTTATAAAACAAGCGTAATGCTTTTGAAAAGTTCAAATTTTGTTTTTAATTATAGGAAGATTTGGAAGGTTTTTCTTCATTTTAATTAAGTGGCCAAGTTCCTCTGCTAAAAATGATCCTGTATTACAGGTGCAAATTCGACCTTGGAACCTAAGTGACAGTGACTTTGTGATGGATGGGTCTCAGCCTTTGGATCCAAGAAAAACAATCTTTGTTGGAGGAGTTCCACGGCCTCTCCGAGCTGGTGAGTAGCAGGAAAATGTAGGGCATGTAACAGATTAAGTAGAAAAGACGAGGAAAGATAAATAATACCTGTAAAAGATCAGAAAATGGACCCTGTGTTTTCCAAAGACCACAGCTTGCTTTCCAATACAAGGAGTCTCTTCCTGTTTACAAAATACCAATGTGAGCATTTTTTACCTTTTAAATAGGTTACTAATTAGGATTGCCAATAGAAAGAGTTTTCCCCAACATTGCATAATATCCTAGAACTTGGCTGATTTTTTGTAACATAGACCATCTTAATCCAAACCCTGATTTGTTTGTTGAGGTGCAGACAAGTTTCCCTTTCCTTTGACTAGAAGACAAAGACCAGACCCTTCTCCCAGACCCTTTCCAAACCAATTCCAACCTCAGCTCTATGATTGCTGTTTCACTTTTATTCAACTTTACGTTAATTCTTCCATGGACCTATGGACACGGCTTGTCAGCTATTGACCCGAAGAAAAATTTCTCACAACCCAGGTCTAATGGTGGCCTCACATGGAAGAACATTTTTCAGACTTACTCCTAATGTAGCTTCTTTCTCTCGATTTTTTTCCTTCACCATTAGCTCTTTTTCTTTACTTTTATTTGCAGAGCCATAGACAAGACTCCTTAACTTTGGGCCAGAGGAAAGATTTATCCCAGCCCAGGACTCCTGGCAGTCCTCATTTTGTTTTGAAGGCCCCATTTGAGCACTGCTCCCAGTCGTAGCTCAACCCTCATTTCTTTCTTCTAATCCTGACATTCTTGGGGAGCCAACAACAAGGTCATGAAGCAATTTTAAACATTTCTCCTAGCTAGATCTTTTGGCAGCCCTCACTTCTGTTTATACTCCCTTTCCTCCTCACTCCGAGGCAGCTGCATGGTTTGTCTTTCTCATCCTCTCAACCCTAATCCTAATCCTGGGAAACTGTGGTAGACAAGGCCTCTCAGTCACTGTCTGGAAGAAAGACTTCCCTTGTAGCCCTCAGTTTCCTTCAGCAGCCACTTTCCAGCCCACTGGAATTCAGCTCCTCACTTTATCTTTTGCCTAATCCTAAATATTTTGGGAAGCTGTACCAACATCCTGTAGCCATTGCTGACAGTAAGATTTCTCTTATTCCAGGTTCCTTTGGCAGCTTTCACTTTCCTCACCACCTTAAAATAAGGCCCAATTGTAAGGTGGTAATTATGTAATTAAACATTAGCTCATTCCTAATGATAGCCTTTATAAAACTGTATGCCATTTGGCCTGTCATAGATCACATTTGAAATGCATTACATTTGAAAACTGATGCCTCTAAATAGGAAATTTCTCCAAAGCAGACCAACAGTTTCCATTTCTTCTTGTTTGCAGCTTTAAAGATTGGATACAGAAGTTTTCCCTAAGATATTTGAACACTGCCTGGTTTCTTTGCCCTGGAATCCTATATATTTTTTCTCAATTGGCAAGCATAACTTAGTGGGACTACTATTGCAATTGTGTTCATTACATTTGTTCCGTACTATCAGTTTTTGAGATCACTACCCAAGTGATGATTCCAAATCATTAGAAAGCAGAAGAATTTATTAATCACTACATTATGCTGGTAGTTTTTCCTTACTCTTTGGAGCAAAAGTATTACCTGGTTTGGTAGAATGAGTCAGACATTTGCTTGCTTGTTGGAAATGGACAAATCAGCATATGGTCTTCCCTGCACACATATTTATATAAACACATATACCTATTTGATTTACTAATGAGCATTTTGTGAGAACTATGAGAAGTTAAATATTTAGTATATTGTGGGTTTTAATTTTATTTTGGGTAGTTAAATGGTAACTTGCTACAGAAAGTGTTTTCACACATTAGCACTAGAAAATGGCTGACTTGGCAGGGCCTGTACAGGTCTCAGTTCTTGCACTGGCCATCTGACAAATCTGTTGGCCTGTGAGGTTTTACAGAGAGCTTGGCTCAGTGGCCATACAACCTTGCACAATTTACATGGCTCTTCCCTGCTTTCTTCAGCCTCTTTACTACTTCCTTCAGTTCTTTCCCTTAACTTTCCTTCTCTATGTGTCCTCAGCCATGCACTGTCTGATTTTATCAATGATATTTTTAACTTCTGTAGAGTTGTTGATATCATAAAAAGCAACAAACCATTTTAAAAGATCCATAACCAAGATAATGTTCTACCAAAATACTAATTTAAATTGGACCTAAAATGCAGGCTTGCTTTAGCTGTAGGAAATTCAGATGTTTCACAGATTTTTGTTTCAAATGTGAGGCACATCTTTGATATCTTTTGGACCTTAGTACTTAGGGCAAAATATCAGATTCTAAAACCAGGAATATCCCTAAGTGATCTTACATGCAAACTAGCATTAAAAAGGCTACCAAGTACCAGGGTTTTAATATCCAATATTGTAAATTCTTGTTCCTCTGATACCTACTTTAACAGCATAACTGCATTTTTTTATACTTCAGCCACATCAGCTTTTTACAGATTCTGGTTCTTTTCCTTTATATTTTACTATAATTCATATAAGGTTGATTCAATCTGCGTTTCATTTTGCAATTTTAGACTTTGGAAGACACGTCTGATAAGGCAAATGTTGCTTTTTTAAATGCAACAATCCAAATGCAACACTGTTATTTATGTTAAATCTATTATATTTAACAATTGACTTCTTGCAGTTGAATTGGCAATGATTATGGACCGTTTATATGGAGGTGTCTGCTATGCTGGCATTGATACAGACCCAGAGCTGAAGTACCCAAAAGGTGCTGGCAGAGTGGCTTTCTCCAATCAGCAGAGCTATATTGCTGCTATCAGTGCTCGCTTTGTCCAGCTCCAACACAATGACATTGATAAACGGGTAAGTAAAATAGCTTGGAGCAGAATGGTTGTTATCAAACTGTACAGGTATTTAAAAAAACCCTTATTAGCGCTGTAAATTCTGTTCCTCAGATGACATTTGTCAGTCTTTTAAAAGCTTATTTAAGCATCTAAAGCAGAGTGAAAAAATACTTTAAACATCTTAATAGTGCTAAACCCAGAAAATACTTGATTGTAAGCTCATTTGTCCTTGGTTCTCTTTTGAATTCCATATGTCAAATTCCATAGCATTTCCCAGCTTCTTTCTCCTCCTTTAGATGTTTGCTCATTGTGCATCAGTGGCTTTTAGTTTAGTGACTACTTGTGTAGCTTCTGACAATTTTGCTATTAGGCCATTTTCTGTCAGTAGTGTAGGTCTGGAGTTGAGGTCCCTAAAGCACAGGTTTATTGTAAGTAAAATAGGTAATGCTGACCTCAAAAGTCTCGAGAATTATTTAACTAAAACCAAATGCCAAGAGATGCTTGGTAGGCAGAAGGCGGTGAAATGAGATGGTTTTGTTCAGTCCATATGAAAACCCTAAAGGGCTTTTCAAGTGTAAAGTTACAGTAGTCACTGAAATTTGACTTGAACACATTAAAAGAAAGCATTATTTTATTTTCCAAAATTAGTTTTTTCCTTTAGACCTTCTGTCTTCACCTCTTGATTACACATACAAACAACACCCATTATTTTTGAGGGCTCTACATTTAGAATATTCAAAAGGACACACAGCATACACTACTGCTATGTATTTTTCTGACAGGGATGGCTTGTTTTTTCCTTAATCCATGTGTAAATGGTGTGTAAATGGTTTCTTCAGAAGTCAGTTTAACAGGTATTGGGTGTGTCTGTTATGTGCAATATGCATATAAAGCCACACAGCTGCAAAGTTCAAACTATTTTGACTGTCTTTACAAGTCTGAATTGTACTTTTTTCAGTTTCAAGGAGGTCATAGAGTTGTAAGTTCTCAAATAATTTGTGTATGGTGCTTTACACCATATTACATTAACTAAGACAAGGCTATTCCTAAACATTCCTTATGCATTAGATTCTGACAAATCTTACAGAGATATTGAGAAGATTACTTTTGGAGTCAACCACATGTTGAACCCTTTGAGATTTGTAAATGAGCCATGCTTGCTAGAGGGTACTTTCTAAGCTTTAGGTTAAAGCCACCAAAGGTGACTAGCTAGTAATTTTTTTCATCTGTTCTTTTTTCACTTGGTGGACCGATAATTTAGGGTCATTTAAATATCTTTTATCTGTTTTAAAAACAGATTTATGTGTGAGTTTGAAGAACATGTATGAAGTCTCTTAATGAATCCTTAAATTGTAATTTTTAAATCTAATAAATTGAAATCCCTGAACTGTACAGCAAACATTCTTAAAATTATTTCACAATTCATGCTTGGGAAATCTGAGTAGGTGGGGATCTAGAGCTGTGCTGGACATTGGACCTGCTTTCTTCCAATTTCATTTGAGACAGTTCTGTTTTATTTTACATGATGCTTCTAATTTTAGTGATATGGCATATGATATTCAAAATGGCAGTTACTCAGCCTTGTTCCATGCAATACTAGTAGCAGGGTGTAATTAAAAAAAATAGATTGGCAGCCCTAGCTGTTCTTCAGGCAAGAAATGTAACTCGCTATATAAGCTTTACTTCAAAGGAGTAACATTTGTTGAAGTGTGATCAGGATAAGCTGAAGTAAATTCGGCATAAAGCTTTCTTGTAGAATGTGTTTCATCTTTCAGCTTAACATCTCATTCTATGTTTCTTTAAATCTCTATGTATTTAAGTGTTGTTACTAGAGTCAGGTTTTCCTTGCAATATACAAATTGTGCCGGAGTGGCACTTGTACAGTTACAGCAAAATTATTTATAATATATGTATACTTCAAGTTTTTCTGTCTTTTCTAGTGCAGTTGACTGTAGTTAAACCACTTTATAAATAGCATCATAGAGCCATAAGAATTAGACATGCATGAACTCATGATTTCCCTAGAATGAATGAACACTCAATTTAAATGTGTAGGCACAATTCATAGGAACATATTCAACATCTGTAATAGCATTATTGCAAATGCCTAATCATGAATCAGTCCTGCTGTGTTTGGCACAAATGCTTTAAAAACAAAAGGCATTCCAGCCCCAAGTTGTTTACAAATGAGTGTAGGACAAAAGTCAGCAGCTCTCCAGACTTTTTGTAATTGATAGCAAGGCCCTAGTTGGAACTACAGTGAAATTTTATTGCACCTCAAGAGCTAATAATCTTTAGATGGTGATTTCTGCCAAAAAAAAAATTACTGTACTTCCATTTTAGTACTTTGCCACACCCAACTTTTCCAAGGAATGTTGAATAGTTATGAAAGCACACCCTTCTTACTTGAGATTTTCTGACAGGTAAGGTGCATGATATGAAAATGTAACTACCGACCTCTTGGGTTATACTGCATCAGTTGAAACCCTGCAGTAGAGCCAGAAATAATGAAAATATTGGGGTTTGTGTTCCTGCTTAGCAAAACTGTAAATATTTTTACAGTTGTTTTCTTGTCCCTGGTGCAGGTGGAAGTGAAGCCATACGTGCTGGATGATCAGATGTGTGACGAATGCCAGGGCACTCGCTGTGGTGGAAAATTTGCTCCATTCTTTTGTGCCAACGTTACCTGCTTGCAGTATTACTGTGAATACTGCTGGGCCAGCATACACTCTCGTGCTGGGCGGGAGTTCCACAAACCACTGGTAAAGGAGGGAGGTGACCGGCCCCGCCACGTCCCATTCCGCTGGAGCTGAACCCTGGCCGCACCCAGCAAGAAGTACTGGAGTCAATAAAATTGAGTGAAAAGAGAGCGCTGCCTCAGGGCTTAGTGTTCTGGAAATCTGTGCATTCGTCCTCGACTTAAATGAAGATGGGTCTTTTTATTACTATTATTATTATTTACAGTCACATTACTGAACTCAGTGTCCAGTATAATACAAACCGGCAGAGTGTAACTGTACTGATTTTGCACTTTGATTCACACAAACATCTGCTTGGTACCTTAATTTCCTACACAAGACTTGTCACTAGTGACATTATGTAGACTGCCATTCTCATCAGTCTTCACTGGGCTGATGTGTATGTGATGAAGATTTTTTTATTGTAATTATAATTATTTTTATTTTTAAACTGGAGCATGCACTTATTTTCAGAAATTTAGACTTGCCCCTAGCAGATGACTTACCAAAGGTAATATTCACAAGTAGGTGGCAGATGTAGCAAAAACTTAAACAGATATTCAGCAATCATTAGTTTGGGTCATTTAGAATAGTAATAACCCTTAAAGAAAATAAGCCTTTAGTTGCTCTCGATTTTGACTTGTAAGGATGATACCTCATAAGCTGGATCAGACGTTTTTCTTTTGTTTTGCTGAGGGTTTTTTTTTGTTTGTTTGTTCTGTTTTGTTGGGTTTTTTTGTTTTGTTCTGTTAGGTCTTTTAGTGTTATGTAAATGTATGCTGCAATAGCTTTTGCTGCTATTAAAATGGTATTACTAATACCATAATACTCTATTCAGGCTAGGGTATCAATTAAAAATGAATATGTGATTAAAATAGTGATGGCTGCTGAAAGGAGATCAGTATAGCATACAGAAAAGCTTCCAAGGAAGGTCAATATTTTTTGACTGCATGTTTACTTAATCAGGTTGCTGCATGCAATAAATTTTATATATGTCTAATATAAAACCTGCCCACAATGCACAAATTATGAATCTACGTAGGCTACAAAATGCTCAGTAAGAAAAAAAAATTGATTACTGACTGGAGGAAGGCATGCCTCAGTAAATGTAATGCTTCTGAAATTAGGATCAGCCCATTACAGAATGACCTATATTACAACAAATATAAAAACTAGCTGTAGGATATTCTTAAAAAAAATTTGTGGATGGTAGATGAAGTACTTTGCGGTGCTCTGTTATATATCGTGCAATTTATTTTATATAGTAAAGTGATTATGTCTAGTACTGTGATCAAACTTAACTGTTAAAGCCTCTGTATCTGACATTACACATTTTTGACAGTTCATAACAGGTACATAAACAGAAATGAGCTCTTAGTTAAAACCTCTCTCCTAATGCTTGCATCATTTATGTAGCTGCAGACCTTGTCCAGAATACCAAAGAGCTCATGCTGGCGTACATACACTACCAATTAGATAGTCTGTCAAACTAATAACCTAGGCACATTTAAGAAAGTTAGGAAACAAAGTGGTGCTAAAGAAATGTCTGCATATAAAAGTAACATGAGATGTCTGCTCTGTGGACGTGGCGTTATCTCTCTAATCCCTGGATGTATCCTGTGAAGCTTGAATACAATTAAGACCTGCTAACACAGTGGACATTTTTTTAGCATGAGCTATGGGGCTGCAGATAGCATATAAATATAAATACACTTGGTATACTAATGATTGTGAGAATGTGTACACTATTTTTTTTTTCTTTTTCCTCCTTTGTTTTTGCAGTTCTGGGGACAATCTGACTGGATATGACACCGCATAGTAGATTTAAATGTTCTGGGTTTTGTTTGTTGTGATGTCCTTCGTTGTGTCTAATTTAGTAAGTTGGTTTTCCCAATGTTTAGTTGCAAGTATTGGCTTTGAAAGGATTTTTTCTGTTTTTGGAGAAAAAAAAAAAGAAAAAATAGTTTTTTACTGGTTTAAAATGCTTATTATAATTATCCCTTTTGAAGTTACTTCTGGGCGGTTTTGTGATATTGCTTTTCCCAGCCCAGGTGTCTTTTCTGTTTTTTTTTCATCTGTACAAGACATTTTGTTATGCACTACTTTTTGTATCTAGACAGTTTTCAACAGTTGGCTGATGATTTTTTTTAAAGAAAAAGGCATGCTTTCTGACTGACATGATCTTTTGCAATACCTCAATTTTGAAATATAGGAAAGAAAATGATATTTTCTAAGTAAGTTTATTCAGAAAAATATATATTAATTTAATTCTGCAAGAAAAATGATTTAACAGATGGGTAACTTTATTTTTTTCATGCTTATTTGAGTTTTTTTGAAAATGAAGAAGTTAGAGCTTTATAACTGTAATATTAAAGATCATAGCTAACCTACAGAAGTCTACCTAATTATGTGAAAGAAGTAAAACTTTTTGAAGAAATACCCCTCTTTCATGTAGAAAAATACTCCCAGAGAGAAAGAGAGTGAGAGCGAGAGAAGCTGGAAAATGTACAGTATAGCATAATGTTGGATAAAATCTGAAACAAAATCATCATAAAGAACAGGTGTAAACACAAACTCCATTTGGTGCTGAAAGTTGTGAATAGAAGGTGAAAAAATATTTTCCCTTAATTTGTATATTTATAATCAAGTGTGATTATGCACGACTGACCAGAATTGTGAGAGTTCTTCTGTTTGTATTTTTTTAAAGAGAACTTTTTTTAGTTTATTAAATTATGACATGCTCCCTTTTGTTTTGTAAATGAGTGTGCCCCTGAGTTGTTAATATGTTATATTAAAAGAGGGTCCTTCAAAAAAAGTTATTTTTTAAAATATGGAGTTCTGAACTGCAACTTGACTAAGAAGCCCCTGGGTACAACAGGTCCTATTGTGGCCTTTTCTGATGTGAGACTTGAACTAGTCGATTTTTTTGAAGGCTAACCTAACCTCGACTATTTGTTGTTATGTGCAATACTGTTTGTACTGTTTGTATAAAAAAAAAGAAAAATGAAAAGAAAAAAGGCATAAATCTTTATTGCAGATTTATTTTCATTGCAGACTTTAGACATTGTGATTCACTAAAATCATTTTTCTACTGTCAAATATGTACCTTTTCTTCATGCTGGTATTTTTTCAATAGTAATGTAGCCTTTGTACTGAGACAAATTTTCATTGTTATTTTTAGAAAGATTTTTTGCTAAGAAAAAAATTAAACATATTTACATATTTTTCATTTTTATTTCGTATTTTCTTTAAGGAGTGCTTTCTCAACCATTAATATAGTTGTTTCTGGGAGAGACTTTCATATCTGGTCAATGTCATTAATATTATTTTGTATTTTTACTTGGAATAAATTAATTTTATGATGCTGATTCTTTAAAAGTTTATTTTTTTCATTTTCAGTTATTTTTGAAGCTAAAATCTTTGTAATATTGTTACTAAAGTGTCTAGTTTTTTGAAATGCAAAGCTTTATGTATTAACTTGCTGATGTGGTTTACAATAGTGTGGCAATGATGAAAATGGTTGGTTATGTAAAGTGATTGGAAAATTGTAACAAAGAATTGGGCAATAAAATGACAGAATGAAGCAGAAAAAACGTGATATTTTGAAAAGCCTTTTCCTTTATCAAAATGATTTAGGGAGATAATAGGGATGTCACAGTACCAGTTCGCTGTCTAGATTTATACACCACCAGTGTTGATGAAATACTATTGCCGTTATAAGGAACTAAATCTATTGAACAATGGGTTTTTGACCCTGCCCATTCAGCATAATTCTTCATTACTTTTCCTGTCATGAACTCAGTAAACTCTCTTTTCGATAGCCTTAGACTGAACCTCCTAAAATATATATTCTTCATTGTATTTTGCCACTGTGTTATTTATTTAACAAAATTGCCCCTTTCCTGCACAAGTCCCTCTCTGCATGCGTTTCTCAGTGGCAGCGTGGAGCAGACTGTCAATGCCCACAGCATTTCCTAACCCAGCCACCCCACGTGGGTGGCAGCTGCCAAGTTAATGCAAAATACTCTGTCCATCCCCTGGTAGCAATGCAGTAACTCATATTGCCACCACGTCTGAACATCTGTTCAGCTTCTTTGTCTTTCTCCGTTCTTCTCTGCCTCTCTTGTGTCTTTGTCCTTTTTTTCTTTTGTATTGGCAATACCAAGGGCCAGTATCAAAACACTTTTCACCTCCATTTCCATCACCTTTGTTTCCCTATGCAGCCAGAAGAAACCCCTTCCTGAAGCCAGTGACTCTGTTCTGGCACCTGACACAATCCAGACTAAAACTGGTGTTGCGTAAACAGGGCATACAATGACTTTCTCTAGACAAAACTCTCGCTTCCACAAGTTGCTGATGACCTTTTAGACTTCTGCTCGAGTGTTAGAGTGGCTCGTCCGTGACTTGTGGGAAGAAACGTGCCCAGAGTTGGTCTATTGTGTATCCTCTGTGTGTTCAGTTCTGTAAGTAATGTATAGACTAGATCAAATAGTGAAGTAAAATTTAGACTCAAATTAGGTACTACTGGTTGGAATGTACACAAATTGCAAACAAAGGAGATTAAGGAATGAAGAGGGAATAAAAAAATTCCTGCTAAGTGGTACAAAGTTTATGCTTATATTTCTGCCAACATGCTTGTATTTTATAGCCTGCTAGCAAGGCATGGGCTAAAACAAATTGTATTGCAAATATGCAGTTAGCAAATAACTTTGCTGATTTCACTATCTGTTAGAGTAGTAAAAAAAAAAAAAAAAAAAAAAAAAAAAAAAAAAAAAAAAAAA